AAGTCTGTAAGTAAATAAATAAATGCATATACTATTCCCAAGCAGTCAGTAGACGTGTGTCTCCCACACCTGCAGCCAGGAGTGGCCAGAAATCAGTTGATGATGACCCTCAATTCCCAGTTAAATGTTGTCAGAGTAGGGGGGAAAAAAAAAAAAATTTTGTTTTCCTGCATTCCCAGTGCTTTCCTGTTCTTCATCCCCAGCTGCTGGCAAGCAGTGGGGAAGGACAGTCTGTCAATTTTTTCCTGAAATGCAGCCTTGAGTCAGAAAGCAGTGTGGCTGGGCTAGTCCTCTTGTCATTCTTCTCTTCCACACAAAGATGAGAGCACTAAAAGTACTGGGTTCAGTAATATGTAAGTGGTAGAGATTAATGACCTGTGATACATGTTATCAAACTGGCTAATCTGATGGGCTAACTGGTTTAAGCTTGCAAAGGGTCTGTGTTATGGTCTGTCCCAGACCAGTGAGACCAGGTAGCCCAAATAAGAGCTACAGAAGGGGCAACTGGTATGGAAAGACTGTCCTTCTCCCTTATGGCAGAGCAGGGATCCACATGCCTTCCTTTCTCTCAATCTGATCTGGGCAAACTGATGTGCTGTATAATGCTAAGACACCAGATCAGCAAAGTTGCTGTGAAATCTAGTTTCATCCCTTCTCCAGGGAGTGGTGGGTGACAGCCCAGGCTTTGGTTTAACATATAAAGACAGTCAGATTTTTCTTAAGAGGATGGAAGGCAATGCACCTATGCTGAGGAATGAGAAACTGTAGTTAGATTGAAGGAAAAAAATTATTCATGGTGAGGATGATTGAACACTGGAATGATCTTAGAGGGGCTGTGGATCCTCCGCCCTTGGCAGTATCCAGCAGCCAAGTGGATGGGCCCCTGAGCTACTCAGTCTTACTTTGAGGTTGACTCTGCTTTAAGCAGATGGATGGACCAGGTGGCTTTGCAAGGTCCCATCCCACCTGAATTATTCTGTGATTCTAAAAGTAAAAATACTGTCATTAGCGGCACAAACCCTTGCAGCCTAGAGAAGCCCAAGCAAGTGTGGATGTTTATAGAGCAAAAGACTATATTCCTAGAACATTTTCAGACACAAGGAACCATGGAGGCACACAGTGGAAGCCTTTGCCTCTCAAATAATTTATTTAATAGAGGATAATATAACAATGGGAAATGCGTGCTCATAGAGGTCACACCTTATTTTGTTCTGCAGCAGATGCTCTAACAGTTTTATCTTGCTCCCTGACCTTCTGGGTAAATAAAAATTAAAATGGTTAAATTTTTTAAAGTAATGTGAGAATGCAGTGCTGTAGCTTGATTTTTGGTTGCATTTTCATAGAATCATAGAAGCATAAGGTTGGAAGAGACCTCTAAGATCATCAAGTCAACCTAACACCACCATGCCCACTAAACATGTCTACAAGTGCCACAACAACACTTTTTTTGAACTCCTCCAGGGATGGTCACTCCACCTCTTCCCTGTGCAGCCTGTTCCAATGTTTGACCACTCTTTCAGTGAAGAAATTTTTCCTAATGTCTAATCTAAACCTATCCTGGCGCAACCTGAAGCCATTTCCTCTCATCCTATTACTAGTTACTTGGGAGAAGAGACCAACCCCCACCTCACTACAACCTCCTTTCAGGTAGTTGTAGAGAGCGATAAGGTCTCCCCTCAGCCTCCTCTTCTCCAGACTAAACAATCCCAGTTCCCTCAGCTGCTCCTTATAAGCCTTGTTCTCCAGGCCCTTCACCAGCTTCGTTGCCCTTCTCTGGACATGCTTCAGCACCTCCGTGTCTTTCTCGTAGTGAGAGGCCCAAAACGGCACACAGTATTTGAGGTGCATTTTTACCAGTGCCAAGTACAGGAGTATGATCGCTTCCCTGCTCCTGCTGGCCACACTATTTCTGATACAGGCCAGGATGCTGTTGGCCTTCTTGGCCACCTGGGCACACTGCTGGCTCACGTTCAGCCAGCTGTTGGCCAGCAACCCCAGGCCCTTTTCAGTCTGGCAGCCTTCCAGCTGCTTATCCCCAAGCCTGTAGTGTTGCACAACCCGGCATTTGGCCTTGTTAAACTTCGTAAAATTGACCTTGGCCCACCGATCCAGTCTGTCCAGATCCCCCTGCAGAGCCTTCCTACGCTCGAGCAGATCAACACTCCCACACCATTTAGTATCATCTGCAAACTTACTGAGGGAGCACTCAATGCCCTCATCCAGATCATCGATAATGGTATTAAACAAGACTGACCCCAATACTGAATCCTGGGGGACACTGCTTGTGACCAGCCACCAGCTAGATTTAACTCCATTCACCATTGTGGTTTGTGCTGTTGTGGGGTTTTTGCTTACTGTTTGACTCACAACTTGTGTGCACAACTTCAGTCATGGAGCAGAAGGCCGCAGACTTTGCACTTCTCCAAGCTTTATGTTTTCTTAGTCCAAAATCTCAATCTAATCTACAAACCTGCTATCTACTAGACTCACCCGTTCACTGGTAAGGAGGAGATAAGGTACCTTTGTGCTTGGAGAAGAAAAGGCAAGAGGAAGTTTTGCTTAGCACCAAGCTGGTTTGTGTAGAATAGGAAAATGCCTTCAGGCTCAATGTCTTCTCACCCCTCTACTTTGAAAGCACCCTATGACATCCTCACCTTCTTGGGGACCTGTGTCCTAAGCACATGCAGACAGTGCAAGTTATCTGCTGTCTCATGCAAAATCAAGGTGGGTCCCAGCAGGCACAAATCAGCATGCTCAGCTACGGGGTTTTTCTCTCTAATTTATGCTTTCTGACTGTTCTGCCTCTAGCCAGGAGCTGCAGATCTCCCACGGGCCTCCAGGCAAGCGTACCCTCTGGAGCTTGGGTTTCTGTGTTCCAGCCCACTCCCTGCCCAGGTGATTCAAGCACCAGCAGCCATGAAGGGGAATAGAACAGCGTGCAGTTCACACGGCGTGATGGGTCCTGGGCTTGCAAACCTGCAGTGGTTACAGACTTCCTGGGCATGTGCTGCCAGCTGGCAGCATGCCCTGAGCCACATCCAAAGTGACCTCATGCTCCATCACAGCCAGGGAGTGACTCAGGAGGAGCTTGGCCTGACACTGTCAGGCAGTATCTGGTTCCGGCACTCTCCACACTATTGTGCTCCCTCTCGCCCCACCCCATGTTGTCTTGTCCCTGATGGAGAGGAATTTTGAGGTGTTTGCTTGTAGCAAAGGAATTGCCATAAGGGGATGCAGACTGTGGAGACTGTCTGAGGACAAGGAGAGCTGTGGGAGGAAAGATCCCTGGTGTGTGCAGAGCTACCATGTATGGAGGTCACAAATCATCCCCACCCGTATGTAATGAGCCCAGAGTCCCAGCACTGTACAGAGTTGGGCACAAAGACAAATGGAGTGTGTTTGACATGAGCTGCTGGGCTCCCGGAAAGCTGTTTCTAGCAGGCAGGGTGCTGCATGGCCATCCCCTCACCTGGGAAAGGTGATACAGCTCTGACACATGGAATCTGCATCAGTTCCTGTCCCTGCCATGGGCTGCTGCAGGACTCTGAGGAGTTTATGTGTATGTGTGCCTGTGATGGCTGAGGGTGCATCACCCTGCCTGGGAGGTGACCAGGGAGGCAATTTGTGAGTCTCCAGGGTCTGCCCCATGTCTCAAAGGCTCAGCCATACCTGAGATGCTCCCATGCTGTCCTCAGCACCTTTCCTTGTTTTGGGTACTAGTTGTGCTGGAGGGTCCCTCTGGTGCCGTGGGACCAGTCGGAGCACTCACATTCCAGGGCAGGATGTTATGTGAGAGAAATGCAAGTGGTTTTGACTCATAGTGTAAAACTGTACCCAGAGAAGCATTGAGGGGGCCCGGGATGCTGGGGATGTGATAAGCCTGGGAAACCAGCCTGCAGGTTGAGACAAGGCACTGTGCTGAGGGGAGCCCAGCTAAGCACAGCACCACGGAGCCTTCCTCTACTCTGCAGCCACCGCTGCCCTTCCCCTGCTCCCCTCCAGTGATGAAATGCTTCAGGGACCAGTAGAGAGGAGAGCAAAATTTCAGGTTGCCAGGTCACAGCTCTTTCCAGGGAAGTGCTGAGACCACTGGAGATGTAATAATCATATTTCTGTAGGGAACTTGGGAGGGGAAACCACTGGCAATGCAGGAGTAGGGACAGGGCTGAGAACATGCAGCAAGGCAGCTCTCTCTCTTCCAGTGACTGAACTGGAAGAGTTAAGCTCTGGTCCTGACCCCCACCTCCTGCTGTTGTTCTGGACAGCAGAGCCTGTTGGTGACAAGAGGCTGATGCTGATGAGGAAGCATGTGAAGCCAGAGCTGTGAATGGGGCTTTATCCCAGGAGGGACCTGCCTCTGCTCCGTCCCTGCCCTGCTGCCAGCACCAGCTGCAAGCAAAGTCGTGCAGGCAGCGATGTGCCAGTAGCCTCTGAGTGGGGCACACGGGGCTGGGGAGGCAGGAGACTCGCCCTTGGGGCAGGCTGAGGTCCCCCAACAGTGTGCGGAGGTCTCCCAGGAAGACGTCTGTGGCTGATCTGTGCTCCAATGTGCGAGGCTTTTGTGAGGCAGGCAGGGGAAGGTCTGCAGGCCAGCCTGGAGCAACCAAGCTCCAGGGTTTGGCAGGGGATTTTGGCACAGGGGAGCAGGGTCTCTGTTTAATGATATTTTCTCTTCTTGACTCTTTCAGATGAAAGACACAGGAAAGGAAGGATGTAGCCCTGGTTGTTCTCTTATGGTGCTGCACTGAGGTTGCTCCACCATGTCCTGCAGCCCTGCCTGGGAGGTGGTCTCAGCCCCAGCACATGGATCATAGCTCTCGAGGTGGCACTGCTGCAGAAGGAAGCTCCACTGGACTCCAAAGAATGAGACAGAGGCATCGCCACTTGAGAAATGCAGCTGCCTTCACAACCACTGCTGCCTTGACCCTCCACTTCACTGTAAAGGTGTAGGTTTATCTGTGCAACCACCCCACCGTGCCCTCTCCACCCAGCTGCCCACCATGCCAGAGCTGGCAGAGCTGAGCAGCCCCCGCATCCCTATGGATGTGGACCACATCCAGAGGAACATCTTGGAGGAGCATGTGGAGCTTTGGTGGTTCCAGGACCCCAAGAAGTCCATCCTGTGCTATGGAATGGCTGTGGTGCTAATCATGGCCTGCGGGGTCGGGGGCATCATCCTGCTGTATAGCACTAGGAGGCGGGCTGGGGGGTGGCGGCTGGCCGTGGGCACCACGCTCTGCCTCCTGGCCCTGCTCGTGCTGCTGAAGCAGCTGCTGAGCTCTGCAATCCAGGACATGAACTGCATCCGCAGCCGGGATCAGATTGAGCTCCTGAAGAGTGGGGGCTTCTCAGACTGTCTGGTGCTGCTGCTGAGCGCCCTGGTGCTGGTGGTCTGTGGGGTCATTCTCACTGTCCTCTCCACTACGACCATGCAGCTCAGCCCTGCACAGCCACTGGCCAGCATGTTCACCAGTGGGGTTGTCCTCCTGACTGCTGGCAGTGCTATCCTCCTCTGCCTGCTGCTCTATCTGCTCTGCACCTCCTGCCATCAGGCTGCTTCTCGGAGCCTGGAGACTGGAGAGATCCGTGTCTTCACCATCTCCGGACACCTCGCTGCAAACAGGCGGCTTCCTCCCACCTCTAGCATGGCCAACCTGATCTGACCCAGGACACCACTGTGTGAGCCTCACTGGATACAACCCATCATCAGGGCTTGTGCTGGCCTTTCCCAAAGGAAGGGCGAGTGTTGCGGTGTGCCTTGCGCTTCTTTCACAGATGACTGGCATTTGCTTTGGCCCAAGCTGACAGCACAGCAAGGACTTGGGGTGCTTGGACAGGCTCTGTGACCTGGCATGTTAGGTATGCAACGCTGGCCTGGTTGGCGTTTTAGCTCCGCAAAGCCTTCTGCAATAGCTGCTGCCTGTCTGGGTGTGGCTGCTGTCACAGAATTAAGGTGAGCCTGCCCTGTACCCCTGGGGACCCCAGTACTTAGCTTGAGTCCTGGCAGGAGAGGCTGTGATTGTGGGTGGTATAAAACCAGCCTGTGCTCCATGCAGAGCTGCCAGCTCCTGAGTAGAGCCTCTAACAGCTGATAAATGGCAGGAAATATTCTGCATGTCAGTAGGCATGCAGTGCAAGCGAAGGGAGCCTGGTGGGAGGTATGGCTGCAGGGGCTGTTCCTGAGAAAGCACCTCTGTGTCTGTGGGAGCAAGCGTGGGAGTTGCATGGGATTCTCTGTGCCAGAGCCCAGGCATGACTGGACCTCAGAGGAAATGCCGTTTGTGTTTGCCATTTGTTCCAATTTTGCATTTATGTAGCCCACCATCTTCTGTGGTTTATCAAAGGGGTGATCAAAGGGTGTCGGTGTCAGGGCCCTGACAGGTTATCAGTGCTGGACTGTGTTGGGGCTCTGTTATCACACCAGCATGCTCCAGCCATGAAAGCCACAAACTGTAAGGTGCAGTCACTGGGGGATGGTGATGGGATGCCTGAATCCCAGGACTGGTGCTGCTGCTCTGCAGGGGTGGTGCAAGGACAGAGTGCTGTTGCCCTCCAACAGGAGTTTCCCAAGCAGAGGCACCTCTGCTGCTGTAGAAGCGCTGCAGCTCATCTCAGTCCCTCCATGTTCCTGCACTATTTCTGCCTCCCACATGCTGCAGCTGTTGTGGGGCAGAAAAGTTCTCCTGCTACCACTTGGGCCTTACCTGGAGCTTTTTCAGTGTTTTATCTCTACAAGATGTCTATCGCTGAAGTGTCTCTCCCAGAGACAGACTAACAATTCACCCCCAGGAGCTTTTTCTGTGACTTGAGGCTAATTTATTGTCAAAATTCTCATCTCCTCCATAGACCCACAAACCATTTCACTGCCCTTTCCATAGACACAGATCCTAATCTACTAACAAAGCTGCTCCTGCACAACCTTCTCTTCCTCTTCATTTTCCTGTCTGCTCCTGTCTCTCCCTTTACTGAGCTGCTCTGCCCCAGCAGTTATTTTTGCTCATTATTTGCTAAGTTCCCTTTTTAATGGAACAAGACTGAGATATGATTTTTTGATGCCTGGTAGCAAATTTATTTGAAAGAGGACAGTAGGCTCATTCCCTTAGTAACACAACGAATCACTGTCCATGTTACACCTGGAGGCAGTGTCAGAGTTCAGTATCAGTGAACCCCACTGGGCATACACTGGACAATGAGGACTTCATCCCTTTGCAGCTCCAGACCACAGCATCGATGCACTCAGATCACATGAGAGCACTTCTGTATTCATCTGCTCTTGCCCTTCTCCTGCTGGCTTTCCTTCCTCCGTAGCATTGAATTGTTTTCCCCAAAATATGGCAACATAATTTTGGCTTTTCTTTTTGTATCTCTGTTATTTCTACGTTTTCCTCTGCCACTTCTACGTCATCCATAGATTTTATTAAACTGCTGTCTCCTCTCTGCATCACTTCCCTTAATCTGCCCAAGACTTCACGTCCTTCTGTCCTAAAACCTCTGAAAAGCAAAGAGCCAGCCTTCCCCTCCAAGCTGTTTTACTCCAGCAGAGACCACTGTGCACACACAGGGAGGGACAGGCCAGAGCTGGAAGCTTTGCACCATCACTGTTGCTGCAGCTTTACGCGTCTGTGTCGGTACATGTGCAGTTATACCAAGCTGCACCACCTCTGCTTGCATCAGTGCTTTAGCAGTTACTCCCAACTCCCCCAACCTGCACCTGTGGACAGGCCAGAGCTGCCTGCACACGGGCTGTTTTGTACATCTGGGCACTTATGTGAAGATGCATGACTGACCAGCTCACAGCTCTGCACTGCCTGCGTGCCAATGTGAATTCTTCAAAAAGTGCACCAAGTGCCAGCAAAGGATGCTTGTGGGCCATATCAGCAACCCAAAGAAATAATGGCTGAGAACAGTCTGTCCCTGAGGATGGAGGGGACAGCCTGTGCTGCCCCAGTCACTGACTCACCACTGCAGCAGCAATACTGGTTTGTTCCTTTCTTGGTTCCTGTGTTGTGTGTGGAAATATATAATAAAGTTTTACAGAAGTCGACCATGTTGAAGGCTGATACTTGACCATCGGCCTCTCTGCTGAGCGGGAGGTGTCAGGGCTGTCCAGAGCTGGCTTCTGCTTAGGCTGAGGGCAGGGCGAAAATCATGACAGCCCAGGGTCCCTCCTGTGGCTATGGTTTCAGCTCATCAGCTAGTGTGGCAATGCCACCACAGTCCTCTAAATGTATGTACTTACTTTCTGATACTTGACTCCCACCTCCAGATGTGTGTGCATCTCTCTCTGCTCAAGGACCTAGGCAAAGCCAGTCCCCCTTACCACCATTCTGAACATAAGACCTTGCCGTGCCCCTGAAAGATCCTTATGTGGAGCACGCAAAGCCTCCTGCATATGTTGGTGCCAGCTGGTGTGTTTACAAAGAAGCTGTTTCGCCCTGTGGTAGGGCCGAGCCTTGAGCCTTGCAGCAGCAATGAGCCCAGAACCAGTCTGCCTGCGTGCCTGCTACTGCTAAACCATGGTCCTTCGGCAGCTTCCTGCAGGGATCCCCCTTGAGAAGGCTCCTCATTTTCTGCTCTCACCTCCTTGTGTTCCCAGCTCTGCATGCCAGATGCATTTCCCCCCACAAGAGCTGCCAGGCTCCTGCCTGCTTGCACTGAAGCTGCCTGGAGAGGGAGCAGAGAGGCTGCCACAGGACGGGGGCCCCCTGCACACCAGAAAAACAGACACATCTGCTCAGTTAAAGAATAAGCGAGTGGGCCTCCCAGCAGGGTCAAAGTAGACAAGCAACCCCCCACTAGGTTCTGAGGGATGAGAGTGAGCAATATCCTGGATCAATAAGCCTGGGCTGTTGTATTTTTCACTTCTTTCAAGACGTCGCTGAGATCAAAAGTACAATACTGCATCTAGCCCAAGCTCATATGATTGAAAAGCATGTTGAAAAGCACAGAAAATAAGCTCCAAAATATAACTGAAATGCATTTTCCCAGCCCTCAGTTTTAAGTCTCCTATCCTACCTGAAAGATACTAGAAATTTCCAAAAATCACAGCATATATTGTACTTTCACAGCCAGCTGTTGAGCCCAGAAGGCAAAACATGAGGCAATTACTGCAAAAGTAAAGCTCAGTTTAGAAATATGGCATTTAAGAGCAAAAACTGGCTGCACACTGAAACAAGCCAGCAGGTTTTCCTTCTCACAACCTCAAATGGCACGTTACCTCTCTGGAAGGTGCTTTAAGTCACTGGCCTGTATCGCCCATCCAACATGACCCAGTCATCCCCTTTGGTTTACATTTTTTGGCTTGTATTATTTACTTTTGTATACTCTGTGCTCGATAAATATCTTATCTTACTAAGAAACAGGCAGTTTTCAATGAAATGGAGGTTTGAAGGAGCTTGGGGAATCAGGTATATGGCAGGGCTGCAAGAAATGTTGTTCCTGTGATGATGCTTCACGCTCTGGAGTGTGATGGAGAGATTCCTGAGCTATCAGGGACAGGAACAACCAGGATGTGCCCTGGGAAGTCTTCCCATCTGGATAGTACCAGCCTCCTGAATCACTTGCTGAGGAGGGTGAATGCTGCTGCTGTTCCCTGCTTTTAACTCCGGTGTGACCCATGCAGGCATAACTGGCTCAGCAGAAACAATTTGCAGTTACCTATGGCTCATGTGCTGTTTATTGTACCACAAAGATGACAGGAATGCAAAAATTATAATGTTCGTATAACTCCACAGTTAGAGATACAGGCGGGTCTGTAATGGGTGCCGGGGGACAGGGCTGTCACCCCAGTGCATGTGTCTGCCTGCCACCACAACCAGCACCACCAAAGCTGACATGGGAAAGCTAAGTGACTTTCTAACACATCTTTCTAGAGAGGGAAGAGAAAAAAAGAGAGAAGGGACACATCAGGAAGCAACACTGGAGAGATGTGCACAGAAATCCTGCAATGATGCACCAGAGCTGCCTGCGCCGCACCAGGGCTGCCTGCGCCACAGCAGGTGACAGATTTCTTTGCACAAGAGCACATATGCCACAGACCCATTCTCTCACCGTCACAGTTAATGAGGATTTATTTAATGAGGATTTATTTAATGAGGATTTATGTGTTTATGATCCTTGAAAGCACATGCAAAAAAAGCTGCAGACCAGCTGTGGGGCTGGTGCGGGGGATGTGTGTGTGTGTGTGTGTGTGTGTCTCCCCTCCAGCAGCAGCACTGGGAGAGCTCAAACAAACCGTTGCAGGCAGATGCAGGGTTAAATTATCCTTTAATGACACCCTGGAGTGACAATACACTGAGAGACAGAGCAGGGCTGGGTCCAGTGCAGTGGCGAAGCGGGTGCCAGAGACCCCACAGGGAGCACAAGAGTAGGCTCCTCTTCCCACCCCACCAGGCTGCCCGGGAACAATAGGCACCATCTCCTTCATCCTTAGCATCAGAGCAGGGCTGAAAGAGCAGCAGCTGCTCCAGTGTCGCCATGCTGCTGCAGCCCTGCTGGCGGCGTGCTGGGGCACCATAGGGCTGGCTGCCTTCAGCCTCCATCACTATTCCCAGCTCATCACTTCTCTCCCCCTCACCACTCCTTTCCTCCTGCCCCTAGCCACATGGGGCCAAAAGCAGAGGGTAGGTGGGAAAAGGCAGGAAGGGGATGGAGGTGGGGGAGGCGAGATGGAATGGATGGCGAGAGGCCGCAGCAGTGGTGGCTGGGCTGCAGGCTCAGATGGAGAGGTGCAACTGCCGCTCCTCTTCCTCTGGCAGCTGCTCACTTGGCTGGATGTAGTTGTCCTCGATGAAGCTGTCATCATCCTCAGCTGGAAGGCTGGCAACACTGGGCATAGGGTGGCTCTCACAGGCCCCCTGGCCTGAGGAGCCCCTGTACCAGCCACTGCCATCCTCCATGGGGCTGCCTCCAATCAAGCTGGTTTCAGTCAGCGGACGATGGTGGTAGCTGGTGAAGTTCTTGTGGAAGTGCTTGCACTTAGCAGCCAGTGTGATCAGGATGGAGATGCCAATTGCTGCCACAAGGAAACCCACCAGCTATGGCCAGTTCCTTCCCCCCTTCCCGGTAGGTGGTGTGGTGGCTGTGGCACATGAAAGGCATGTCAGGCCGTGGTGGGCCAGCCTGCAGCATACCCGGCACTTCTCAGCAACCAGTCCTGTGCATGCAGCCAGTACAGGATTGCTTTCATTAGGAGCAATATAAATGCTCTTCACCAAAAGCTGGCTACCAAGTGTGTGTGAACACTGTGGGGAAAACTGCTAGATGGCTGTCTGAGACTGGCACTCATCACTGCGGAGTCTGTGCTCCAAGCAGCTTTGTGGCATCTGCTAACTTTTCTGTTGCAAAGCCAGCCAAGGAGTTGAAGGAGAGGTCCAAACCAATGATGTTGCTTGGAAGGGAACTCGGAGCGTGCAGGAGACTCTTCCCATTGCAGTTGGCCCATCCCTGGGAAAAGAGCTGCTGTCTGAAATAGGCTTTCCAAGCTGGGGAGGATCTCTAGAACAATACTCCACAGAAGTTCAAATATCTTCACTACCCTTGCAGAGTTTAACAAAGCAAAGACACAAGCTTAAAAAACATATGAGCTGCCAGTTTGGCATGGGCCAGGATAAATGGAAAAAGATGAGCAGGACAGCCCAGGACTGAGAGCAGCCGACTTAAGGAGTAAAGGAGGAGTGTGAAGAGCTGGAGGGAAACCCAAACAGACAAGATGGGTGTGAAGGGACCAGGTTGCCACCCTCCTGTCCTCCCTTATAGGACAGTTGTCATACGGGGTCAGCTTGCAGAGGGCCTTCCTCTTCCTCCCCCAGATCCCCACCTCCAGCCCCTGGGGAGGTCTTGCATGACACAAGGACATCCTCCCAGCTGGAGCAGCGAAGCAGGCAAGACCCCTGCCCACTGCAAGGGCAGGGCAGCCCCAGCCAGTCAGGCTGCAGAGTGATGGGTGACACCAGGCACCAGTGTCAAGAGCTGCTCCCTGGGGCCTGTGGAGGCTATTGCACCCATGCCCCCAGCCCTCCCATGTTTCTGAGGATACACTGAGAGTGACAGCGGCTTAGTTCAGGCTGGCTGTGGCTACACTCGTAAAGAAAACTGACCAGGGACCATTCACCATCCTGAAAAGCCAGCAGTGCATGATTTAGTGTTGGCGGTTAAGAGAAGAGAAACTGACGTCATCTACCTGGATTTGTGTAAAGCATTTGACACTGTCCCACACGACATCCTGGTCTCCAAATTGGAAAGACATGGATTTGACGGATGGACCACTCGGTGGATAAGAAATTGTCTGGAAGGTCGCACTCAAACAGTTGCAGTAAACAGCTCAATGTCCAAGTGGAGACCAGTAAAAACAGGTGTGCTTCAGGGGTCAGTATTGGGCCCGGTGCTGTTTAATATCTTTGATGGCAACATGGACAGTGGAACTGAGTGCACCCTCAG